CGCAAATCAACGAGAATCCAAATCAACCAGAATACGAGCATCATTACCATCAGTTATCAGTATTGGTATCAGTGTCAGTATCAGCTTCACAGCATCATTATCATCGGTATCAGTTATCAGTATCGATATCAGTGTCAGCGTCAGTGTCTGCATCAGCATCAGGGTATCATTATCGTCAGTATCAGTTATCAGTATTGGCATCAGTACGGTATCAACATCAGTGTCAGTTTAATAAACAGTATTATAGGTATAAGTATTTGGGACAAAATTGAAAATCAGTTTATGCACATCAATCAATATCACACATTATCAATTAAACATATATATGTGATGATCACTTATTTACAAAAATAGCATATTTCGAACATACTTTAAAAAAATATGAATGACTTAGGTTTTAATCTTTATTACATATTTATTTTTTCTCGCGTCTAAACACAACTAAAACCACTAAGCCTAACAATGATAGGTAATTTAAAAAACATTATTTTACAAGCGCACGTAACTTTTAATGCTCGTCTTTAGTATAATATTATCTGTATTGTGTACGTTCGTTTTATGTAAAGATTTTCTTTGTAGAGAGCCTCTCGTCTGTTATGTTTTATAACATGTAGGTAATCCTGCCTCATTGAATTACTTTGTATTTTATTTTTAAGACAAAATAATGGATATGATATAAATGATATGATATATGAAATATGAATAATAACCTCATTTCTTTCTTTCTGTATTAAAGAAGTGAAGTATGAATGAATAATAGTAAATATACAAAATTAGTAGTGCGCAAATTCCAAAGAACAATGATCAAAGGCGTAGTGTATGCTAGAGCTAGATGTTGTTTTCAGGGAAGATTTAAATGCAGAGAGAGAAGTAGATTTTCTTACTAAAAAAGGTAAATTGTTTCAGAGACAAGCAGCAACGGGTGTAAATGTGCCGTAGGTTTTGGTATTATAAGATGGAACGGAGAGGAGGTTTTAGGAGGAGGGACGAAGGCGACGAGACGGACAGTAACGAGGAAGAAGTTCAGCAAGGTATGGGGGACGCTTAAATTGATTGCTTTAAAAGTTAATAAAAGTATTTTAAACATAATGCGTTTGTCCACAGGAAGTCAATGGAGAGTACGAATTACGGGGGTAATGTGATTGTATCTTGGAGTCAAAGTACAGACACGGGCAGCATTATTTTGAATTAATTGAAGACGCTTGATTGAATAAACAGTCAATCTTACATTAGTCAGAGTCGCTTTAATTATAGTTATCAATTCATCGGAAATGGTTTGTTGCTAACAAATTATACTTTGATTCTTCTAATGAATAGAATGTAAATATTATACCAATTGAAATTTACATTTAAACGACATTCCTGTTACCGGTAACTACCTTGCTTGGTTGCTTAATTGCTTGAGTGGTATTGTCTTTGTATCTAAGAAACCAATTCCTACTTAGGAATACCCGATGTGTTTTTACTTGTACTGCTCCTTATGAAATCTACATACGTAGGCCTATAATATACACATTATTTTAACCTATGCCAAGAGAGTTTTATTCAGAAGTAATGAAGTGAGTTAAGTGTGAAAAATGTCTATATAAACAAATGTGAAATATCTCACATATGAGCAATGTACTACATTAAATGAACATAAATGAACGTAAATAATGAACATTTAAAAACGTATCTGCATTGTTTCTCAACATCTAGGAGCTTAATTTACCTGCTAATACGTCAGCAACACCGCTGGTTACAAAGATATTTTTTACATAAATACATACATACGTATATGTATACATATATACATATATATACATTATATTCAAAACATTGCGTATTCAAAATAGTATAAATGTATACATAAAATTATATAATTTTAAGATAGAGGCCTAAATATAGGCCTATCAGATATATAAGAGAATTTTAATTTTCAGAATATGTAAGAACATTATAGATAAACAATGATTAAGTAAAGTTATTGATGGATTTATTCATTCAGTAATACTTTAAACCAATGATGGATCAATAGTTTATTTATTTATTTTTTGCCGGAGGTTGAGAGTAGCAACCGAAAGGCCTATTATAGTACGGGAAGGGTGTGGGTTAATGGCTCACTTATCTATTTTAGGGATCCCTGGAGTTTTATCCAGTTTAATCTCATATTCAATTAGTTTCAGATTGTTTTGCTGTTGTCATGTGTTAGGGGGTGGAGACATGAGCTTTTCGCCACCCGTTGTCCCGATACTGTAAATGGGGTAACATTAACATTTACAAGACGTTTAACGTATACTAGGCCTGAGATTACTATAGTACAACGATATGACTTACCTCATAACTCAAACATCTCCCTACGCACTTCGTTGTATCTAAGACAGTAAGGGGCTTACATCCCTGTCTTTCAATTACTTTCCTCATCTTGACGGGCCTACAATAACGCACTACCGGCTTGGCTGCAAGGTTACCGACTATCTGTAGAAATTTGTCCATTCTTTGAGAATTCACTGGCTCCATGAAGGAAAATAATAACATCATCATCGTACATGTGGTGAATATCTTTATCTTGATCATTTTTTTCTCGGTCACTAAGGGAAAATGAAGTGAAAGTGTCAGATGTATAAAGAGCTTTTTAAAACTTCAGATGGACTATTTCCTTCAACTGTTGTATAGATCCACCTGCTGTGACGTATTCAATCTGAGTAGGCAGGAGTTTGCAATACGAATCTGTCTACTGTGCAGTTACACGTGGCTTTTGGTTTGGCATAAGTCAATGCCATTATATAAAGATATTTCCAAGGCGAGCTTCCTCATTACTACTACTGCAACAATATCACAATGACCATCTGTTATTTCTAGCATCGAATCGATAATCGTTGCGAATCTGCCTAATTTTTACGCAATGACAAGAAATTGAAATTGAATTAATATAATGTTATTTCAGAACTAAACAAACGTCTTAAAAATAATATTATATCAATCTGAATATATTAGTAGATTGAACGGTTTCGTATAAGCAAAACCATACTGTATTATTATTATTGTCAGTTATTATTATTATTATTATTATTGTTATTATTATTATTATTAAGTACTCATAATTATAAAATAATTATACTGAAACATAATTAATGACATTTTATAACAAATTGGTGTTAATCACAATTAGACAAAGGCATTTACAAAAACCTCGCTATAGCTTATGACGTTAGTAGATGTTTACCTTCAAGCAGAACATACATTACAACTAAATATAGGTTTATCCCAAAGCGATTAAGACAATTAAACAGCCAATGACAATACAATTTGAAACCCAAAGGGATTAGTCTGAATCAAAGAAGGTCTTAAAATCATGGGCCTACAACTTTGCCGACATACCACGTCGTTAAAGATTTTTTGTAGATCTTTTAGATTGCCTATCAGGGCCAGCCACATGCACTTAGATTTATTATGTGCATAATAACAATAACAATAATACTAATAATAATGATGATGATGATGATGATGATGACGACGACGATGATGATGATGATGACGATGATGATGATGATGATGATGATGACGATGATGATGATAATAACAATAATAATTATAATTATTATTATAAATAAAAAGAAGTAATAAAAATAGACTTTAAAAATTGCATTTATAATAATACAATTAATGCTGCCGCTACTGCTAGGCCGGCTATTGATAATGATTGTAAAAAAGTAATGGTAATAATAATAATAATAATAATAATAATAATAATAATAATAATAATAATGATGATGATATATAATAATAATAATAATAATAATAATTATAATATTAATAATAATAATAAACATAGTTATCTATTGATAAACCAAAATTAAGTACATTTTGGTTTATATTGATAAACCAAAATTAAGTACATTTTGGTTTATCAAGAGATAGACTTCAATTAAATAATCATTATTTAATTGAAATTATTATTAATGTAATGTCGGTGATGTTGATATATGTTTAGGACTCTTGAGCGGAAAGAGACAAACTTGAAACAAAGCGAAATATTGCAGTGCTGTAGGCAACAGATATGACACCCGTTTATAACAATTTAATAAAAAATGAGATTGAATTTTAATCCACAAACAAAAAATTGACGTTACGGTTAGAAAGTATTTCTATTGTCAGTTATTAAAGTCTGTCTAAGTTAGAGTGAAATGTTGTATTAAATTGTCAAAAAAGATAATTTCCATTGTCTTCTAAAAACATGACTAAATGTGAATGATAAAAAATGACACATTAAAGGTCTACTTTCGATGAAAACATCTCTTGTATTGCCAATAGAAGATGCGTCCTTCGATGAAAGAAAAAAAAAATGTGTAGATGTGATCGCCGGGTAAATGTTTGACGAAAAAAGAACTCTTCAACTACTAGTGCCTCTTTTTTTTTTTTTTATCGAATAATACTTTGTTAAATTTTTGTTTCTTCTCGTATGGTGTGTTAGATGGTTTGTGATATGGATGTGCAATATAAATGAATAACCTTTAACCTTTAAGATTTGGATGGTGATAAACAAACTTTAACCTTCCCCACTCCTGAAATAATAGCCTAGTAAGTTCGCCTAAATAAAACAAATTATTTAAGACCTCTAAAATTATTATTGTTTCTTTTTATCAACTCAAACGCGTCTTAAGCCGGGCACTCATTGCGTCGTACGACAAGCCCAACCCCTCTCCCAGTGAGTGCTACACTCCACGACGCCGTCTGCTGATTTTCGATGGCAGTCTGAAGGGATCGTCATTAAAGGCCAACTCAGACAGCGTCGGCCGACGCGATTTGTTGTCGCGTCGGGTCCGTGTGAGTTAACGCAGACGCGATGGTGTGCGTCGGGTCGTAGAATATTAAACATGTTTAATATTTCTCACGACTGCTCAAGACTGTCCCCGACGATAAGTCGGGTCGGGCTGCGTCGGCCGACGCTGTCTGAGTTGGCCTTAAAAACATTCATTGCGCACACGCCCTGTCGTTGCGTCATCCTTCTAATCGCGTCGGCCGACGACCGTCGGGCGCAGTGATTGCTCGGCTGCGGTTTGAGAACGATGTAGGCCTAGGTGTTAATATCAACTAATGTTGATACCCTCTAACGATATATTCTGTTTCCGCCCTAGGTTGTGCATGTAGTAAAACTTTCCTGTATTAGTATCATGTTCTCAGTAGAATGCAGTGAAAGGCTAATGACATTCCTACGATGGATAAAGGGAAAACCCGAAACTTTCCAATCTAGCAATTGCTCATTGATATTCTATCGTTTCAGATTATGGTAGGGTGCGCCCTTTAAAAAAAAAGACTTTGAATTTGCCAAATAAAATCGTCTGTTTGCAAACAAATAGATACATGATAACTGGGCTCCAATACGATATTATAATAACAATGAAGCATAGTTCATCTACGTGAAGTTTCTTTCGTTCCTATAAAAAATTGTCTCTGGTGGAATTCAAAACTGCAATATCTCGCTATGAACGCGAGTGCCATACCGCTAGACCAGAGATATATACGGCATAGGTGCAGATCTAACCACCAGATAACAGTCAATCAATTTAACTAAAGTAATGTAACTATTATTGCGTCATAAAACCAAATACTGACGATCGCGAATAATCATGAAAAGATTACATAGCATTTTAAATTCGAACATCATGCTGTACTGCAATGAAGATTCAAGATTCTAAGAAGTGCATTATTGTAATAGACCTTAAGAGATAAGATATAATGATTAATCCACACTACAAAGCACCAGAATATATATTTATACAATGTAATAAATATACTACTACTACTAATAATAATGTTACGTTAGCACGTAATGGCAAAGCTCCTGCACAGAATAATGAACAAGAAAATCAAGAAATATCCTAAAACTATCCAGGACCACCACGAACAATCAAAGCCATCACTATTGCACAGCTGGCCGGCAATTTTAAGGTACAAGATCCACCAGTGTGTCAATCGTCAGGACAAAACAATAAAAATGTAAAGAAACTTAGTGCACCAAGCATCAAGCACATTTGAAAGAAGAAACTGTTTGCAGATTTTATGTCACCTGGTAGCCTGTTCAATAGTTGTACCGATGCAACAGAGAACCTTCATTTTTATACATAGTAGTTGATGTTGTGTGAGTTTGCAGCAGTTAGGATGAAAATCTAATACTGAAAACTCAACACTGGGAGTTGACCAGTTGTATGGAAGCTTGAGATGTTGATTGGAAGTGGTCAAATAATATTGAGGATAAACATTGTGCCAAAGTCTTTGGTTTGATTAAGTCGCCATAGAAGAAAGCCTGTAACTGGTTTTTCACTTTTATAGTAATTTAGAGCAAACATCATTATACGACACCACCTGGTCCTTTCTGACAATGTATGTGGGTTTCCAAAGTTTGGACATTAGTATTTGTGCATGTATACATATTACTGATTGCTTCCGATATTTAGTTGGGTAGGATAATACCTGAAACATTGAGTATCTCCACTATCATTTTTGCTGTTAATTGAACCGAAATGAGGAAATTGACCAGTTAAAATATTGTCCGGAATTAAATCTCGCCTGAAAGATGCTAAACCAAAACTGGGCCACTGTGCGTTTGTGTTGAATTCGAATCAGATTGGAAGTAATTACTTCAACTTATGCCTTGAATATAGGGAAGACACTAGCGCCCTCATTCTTGAAACGAACGAACTACAACTTTAACTAGTTCTAGTTGCAGCTTCAATTGTATTCAAAAACTACGTAGTCTATTAGTGCTTATACTCCAACTAAATCAAGTCCTTGTTGTAGTTCAGTTGAAGATGGCTGGCACGCAACTACTATCAAAATTACCAATGACAAGCGATCATGTATTTAGCAGACAAAATTTTAAAGATCCGGTTATTGAGCTCCAGTCTCTCGTTTATAAACACATTTCTTGTTTATTTATTTGTCTATAACAATAACTATACTGTACTAGTAGTTAACATGAAACGCTGGAATTTTTAAACAATCCATAAAAATTGATTCCTTTGGAGCACTATTAAAGCCCCATTCCCGGCAAAATTTCACTGAAAACTGACCTTTTTTTTTAGAAAATATTCATTTGCATTACTCCAGTTATTATAAATCATGGAAAAATATTGGCATGATTTTAATTTTACGCAAAAGAATAAAAAAAAAAGAGAAATACAGACTATTTCTCATAAAATATTACCATTTTCTGGACGAATTCATCGTTACTAGGCAACTTCAGAGGTTGTAGATCGCATCCACTGGAATACTCTCGCTTTTAT